TGCGCTAAATTTATCTGACTTCTTCAGGCTCGAATAAATCACGAAAGGAACAAGTACGACCTGGTTTTCTCTTCGACCTTGAATATGGAGGGGGATATGATCTCCCGAAACGTCGGTTGACTTACAAAGGACTATAAGGCGTTGTATCCGAGAAGATATGTGTAATTCTTCATAACTGCCGCTATGACAGTCTCAAACTCACATAAGACTCACACAATTTTCCTCAGTTCCTACATGCGAAGTCGAAATAATATCTTGAAGTAAGCCACGGCCTCTTCTGTCTACATTCTTACCAATCAATTATTCATTAATTAAACTATAATTTGACGTTATATTATCGGAGTCACTGAAAGAGTTGTTAAATGAACCACAAAGTACTTTCCTCCCCGGTTCATTTTTGGTTTAATAACATGTNTCCGGCGTAACGGCCGCTGAAACCGCTGAACCAGAGGGCCAAGCCCCGGACATTTGGACCCCTGCTGGGCGGCATTGGCAGCGCATTACTGGGCGGACTCAGTGGCCTCCTGACAGAACATGAGTTCGGGCACCTGCCACAATACTTTGGTCCATCTCATAATCCTTCACCTTTCATCAACAATCCTTACTATGGATACTTCAACCCGTACGTTATATACGGGCATGGAAACCCTGCATTCGGTTATCCCTTCTTCCGAAATGCAAGAGACAAGTGACTGGATGGATAAACTGGGGCCTACGGGTCGGATGCGGCCCTTAGCAAGGAACTGACCCAGCATGAATAATTTCACAATAAAATTAATTTTCACTTTTCCTATAACACCTATGAAATAAGCTATTTTTTTCCAATGATATCAGATACAAAAATAGTAGCCAAAAATTTTACACTGATTTTTCGTTGTCCTCTGTTTAATTTTGTAATAAAGACGTTTGAATGTACATACCTTTTATTACGAATTCTAATTAATTGTGTTATTTGAATTAAGAATAAATTTTTATTCGTTAATGTAACAAAATATTTTTAAATTACGGTTGACAAAAATTAAAGATTATTGAATGAATTCAAAAAATTAAAATATACGCTATTCTGACTCAAAATTCTGTAGGTAAAACTGCGGCAAAGTTTAAATAATGAACTCCTCACCCACATTTCCACATGGTAGCTCAGTTAAGTACCCAACGCACTATATTTGTTCACTGGGACTTATTTTACTTGGATATCTATATTCCATTGTGTGTACGCAGCAAGTATGTTGGATTCAATATGGATGTGAATGTATTTATCGTTTCAAGAAATAAATTCATGTAATGTCTTTATTTGAAAGTATTTCATGACGTGAAAGAAATATAATTACATTTGTTTTAAACCCAACGTCCAATGATTACGTTCTTATTCCCTTCCCGCACAAAATAACATTGCCAGCAAATCCTATATAAATAAGACGTTAAAGTCTGTGACGACGATACATCAGCACGAATATTGTGTTTCTGGATTATGCATCGTCCTGTCTTTAGATAAGAGGAGGACGGTGCATAATGTCCCGAAAACCTGCAAAGTTTGTGTCTCAATGTAATAATAGTTGTTTAATTACTAACAATTTTGAAACTCACAATTATTCAGGAAAGTCTGGTAATATAAAAATGAAGTGGAGAAAATAAGGGATACAACGGTTCTTCCTCTATTCAAAACAAAACAAAATCAAACTCCGTCGCTTTTAGTCCGCAAGCAAAATATATCGACCGAGCGACCGCCGCTTGTCGGCGAAGTTAGTGCCATCTTTTGCGGGTAGAGGGTGTCGCGTGGTCAGCACAATGTATCCACACGGCCGTTAATCTCGGTTTTCTAGACCGAAGTCGCTACTTTTCCATTCAAGTAGCTCCTCAATTATCCTCACGAGGCTGAGTGAACCCCGTTCCAGACCCACTACGTCGGGAATCGAACCCGGGACCTCTGGCTCTGTAGCCAGGAGGTCCATGCATACTGACATTCCTATAAGTAAGATCTAAAAGTTTGTGACGACTGCATATTAATACAGTTATTGTGCTTCTGGACATTATCCATTGTCCTGTTTTTATTTAAAACACGTGACGTTTCGGAGACTGGATTCTGTATCCCTTTCAGGAGGAACCTACTCAGTTAGACCCGATCGATAGGGCTAGTCCCTGTCACCCGGACATCCATGCAGTTAGTTTATCGCTTTTAATAATATGGGCTGAAATATTCTTAAGTATAAGTCTCTGACAGGATGAAAAATGATAAAGTTAAGAAAATATTTTTTTATGAAAATATAAATATAAATATGGAAAAATGGGTTGAAACCGTGAAAACGAAGAAACGGTATTCGCATCATGGACACACCGGCATGTTACACTCTTGCATGTAACTGGTAATGAAGGTTGTTTTCCTTCGAAGCTTTCACTGTTGGGGTGTTGAATGTGACGACACAGAACTTGGCTAAATTTGGTGGACACACCAAGCTATAAGAAGGGTTGCCATAACAACCCTCACGGCACTACACGTACGAAGTGGACATGGAGATGTACGGGAGAGCAGAGGTGAGTTTTGTCTTATTTCCGTGTCATTTCTAAAAAAGGGTTCAATATTTGTCATAATTCTTATTATACTAGCGCATAATCTGTCAAACAAGCAGGCGAAGTTTTTTTCTTTCTTCCTATCCTTTACTTCTTTCATACCTTTATCTTCTTCCCTCCTTCTCCCGCATTATTTTCCTTTTATTTTTCGATGCTATCATCATTCCTCTACCCCCTGCTGCCTCCAGCTTTGTGACGTTAAAGCTTTTTCATCTGTTACTTCATCTATTTCGTCCCTTATTTCCTTTCCCCCCTAGGCAGTTTAGAAAGCGCAACTAACGAACTAACAAACGAATAGCACTCGTATTTTAAATGTTTGTGTGTAGGTAAAGCTATCCCTGTAATAGGCAGTGAAGGCCCATAGGGTTGTGAGAAGTCGAGGCTCTCACATTTTCTCTAGACAGTCGGCTCATAGATGGCAGTGACCTTCTCAGTCTTACACGCCGCCGCCCTTTATCCCCCGGAAGATTCCTCCTGGCTTACCTTACGTAAAATCTCTTTGTTATTAATAATTTTCGAACTGTACAGTGAAATAGCTCTATCTCGGAAACCGTTCCGAATAGAACACATGCACATATACAGTTTTTGTTTAGAATTGCAGATACTATGACCTCCCAGAATATTGACCATTCTTCCTGGTACACTCTGATAAGGTAATGAGTCATCTGTGGCAACATAAATGCAGTACGAGTATAACTTGCATTAAATTCATGATTTATTCTGACCGTCTTACAGTGCATACATTTATTCACCTGACTCTTCTCTCTTGCACTACATGTTTCGGCATTAAACTGTCATCTTCAGGTGCTTTTCGATGCACGTCGAACTACTGCATCGAAAAGCACCTGAAGATTGCACTTTAGTGCCGAAAGTGCAAGAAAGAAGAGTCAGGTGAATAAATGTATGCACTGTAAGACGGTCAGAATAAATCATGGACATAAATCAGTGCAACAGGACGCTAAAATATAACATGCATTAAATTACGGTGATGAACTTAATATGTAACTGCATGATATCTAAAACGATGTTTATATTAAGATTGGGTATTCTTAAGGTGCCATCTCATATAGATATGAAACTGCATACCAGAATACTCGGTATAACAATCTCTAAGACCGTAATATTAATATTCACAGCCGTAATAATCTCAAATTTAATATATTTAACTTTCTTCATCACTCTAGACCAAGGTGAAGACCAATGAAGTGGCAATCTGTTCATGTCCACAGGTTACAATTTACTTTGCGCTGATGCTGTTAGCTCTCGGCAGCTCTGCTGATGTCCCACTTAAAGTGGTGGCATATTCTTTGCCTGTTCCCGTCTTCGGTGACACTTCTGCAGTAGAGGGCGTGTTTACAGCCGCCAGACACATTGCTGCCGGAAACCTCGGAGGTATGGTGCGTCCGAATTCCAGATAATTACATGTACTCGTTTACTCCAAGATTGTTATGAAATTAGAATTAAATATTAAAACAGAAATAAAATACACATTAGCAAAGATTTTGAGGGAAAATGAAGTCTCTTTCATGTTATACCTATCGTAGGTTTATGCCTAGACAGAAAGGACATGTGCCCTGTTGCAGAAACAGCATCGGCATTTAATATAAATACAAATCAATATTTTCATTCTGTCGAAAACAAATGAAGACCCATGCTGAATGCATGACATCTCAAAAATAGAATTAAGAGGTGTGTATCTTATAAAGCAATTCTTTGCAATCTTGTTCCACGTGTCAACCAACTGTAGACGTAGTGTTTACTGGATTTATATCTAATGACGGAGAAGTATTACAAAAAACTATCCAATTCTCTCATTCTTCAGGAAAATTTTATTTCAGCGTCATATTTTGTGCGAACAACAAGAATGTTTTCTTCCTTCTTTATAGATTTTGATTTAAATCAATCCTGTTCCTGTTCTTATGATTGTTCGCTGTCCATATAAAAATTATTTCTGTGCAGTCTGCCACATTCTTATTGTGACAGTTTTTCATAATCGTATTATACACTATGCATCTTATTTGTGATTTCATTATTGTTTCTGTATTCTCAATACCCCATATTTAATCGACAGGACTTGGTAAAGAAATACAGTTCTTAGATTCTGGAACGCCAGACGGTAGCAATGCTGAAGCCGGAAGTTCAGAAGAACCACTTCCTGCATTATCCATATCTTCTGGGAAAGATGGCTCCTCAACGTTCCGCATGCCATCACCGCTGTACGGCCCTCCTGCGCCTGCGTCTGCAGTGCCATCCGGGGACATAAGCAGCTCTGCTGCAGTCTCAAATTCAGAAGGTCAGGAAAATTCCGGAGTAGAATCCTCACGAGTGTCCAACCCTTCATATTCAGTTCCTGTAGCTACTTTCAACAGTGGAGCATCGTCTTCAGACAGTGAGCGCAATGTTGGTGCCTCCTTCTCCTTGGCACCTCCAAGTCATTTGTATGAAGCTCCTTCAGCCGCCCCAGCAGCTGTCCAATCAAGCAGTTTTGCCGAATCCTCATCTTGGGACAGTCGTGGAAACTCCGGAATAGTTCCTTCGTATTCTGCTCCTGCAGTTACACAAGTTGACAGTGCAGCGTCTGGGTTTACTGGAGCCTCATCTTCTACCGGCCAAGGGAGCATAGACCATTCCTTCTCTCCTGTTCCTTCATATGTAGTTCCTTCTGCAGCCCCAGCAGCTCTTGGGTCAAGCAGTTTTGCTGGATCCTCATCTTCTATCAGCCAAGGAAGCATAGACCATTCCTTTTCTCCTGTTCCTTCATATGTAGTTCCTTCTGCCGCCCCAGCAGCTGTTGCATCAAGCAGTTTTGCTGGATCCTCATCTTCTATCGGCGAAGGAAGCACAGACCATTCCTTCTCTCCTGTTCCTTCATATGTAGTTCCTTCTGCAGCCCCAGCAGCTGTTGGGTCAAGCAGTTTTGCTGGATCCTCATCTTCTATCGGCCAAGGAAGCATAGACCATTCCTTCTCTCCTGTTCCTTCATACGTAGTTCCTTCTGCCGCCCCAGCAGCTCTTGGGTCAAGCAGTTTTGCTGGATCCTCATCTTCCATCGGCCAAGGAAACATAGACAATTCCATATCTCCTGTTCCTTCATATGTAGTTCCTTCTGCAGCCCCAGCAGCTGTTGCATCAAGCAGTTTTGCTGGAGCCTCATCTTCCATCGGCCAAGGAAGCATAGACCATTCCCTTTCTCCTGTTCCTTCATACGCAGTTCTCTCTGCCGCCCCAGCAGCTGTTGCATCAAGCAGTTTTGCTGGATCCTCATCTTCTATCGGCCAAGGAAGCATAGACCACTCCTTATCTCCTGTTCTTTCATATATAGTTCCTTCTGCAGCCCCAGCAGCTGTTGTGTCAAGCAGTTTTGCTGCAGCCTCATCTTCCATCGGCCAAGAAAGCATAGACCATTCATTCTCTCCTGTTCCTTCATATGTAGTTCCTTCTGCAGGCCCAGCAGCTGTTGGATCAAGCAGTTTTGATGGAGCCTCATCATCCATCGGCCAAGGAAGCATAGACAATTCCATCTCTCTTGTTCCTTCATATGTAGTTCCTTTCGCAGCCCCAGCAGCTGTTGCATCAAGCAGTTTTGCTGGAGTCTCATCTTCCATCGGCCAAGGAAGCATAGACCATTCCTTCTCTTCCGTTCCTTCGTATGTAGTTCCTTCTGCAGGCCCAGCAGCTGTTGGATCAAGCAGTTTTGGTGAAGTCTCATCATCCATCGGCCAAGGAAGCATAGACCATTCCTTCTCTCCTGTTCCTTCATATGTAGTTCCTTCTGCAGGTCCAGCAGCTGTTGGATCAAGCAGTTTTGCCGAATCCTCCTCATCTTTTACCAGCCAAAGAAACACAGGTCATTCCTTCTCTCGTAGCCTTTCATATGCAGTTCCTTCTTCCACCCCAGCAGGTGTTGCATCAAGCAGTTTTGCACAATCCTCATCATCTTTTACTGGCCAAGGAAACAGTGGCATTCCTTCGGTACCCGTAACTCCCCAAACTTCATATAGCGTTCCTGAACTACCATAAACTTTTCACAGTTAACGTTACTCTATCTGTTTGAGTCAATTCTTCTTATTTTACGGATCCGGAGATAGTTTACAATTGTGGGGGTTTGAAAAATGATCGAGCCATTTCGAAAGCTTTCTCTGCATTCTGAGCATCCATTAATCTGAGTGCCTTTCTCTTGTTTCTAAAGATTATGAAGTGAAGAGAACGGCGTAAACTGAGAAGCGAACAGGATGAGGCGAGTTCATTCTAACAGATCATGAGCGCGGGATATCGGAAGTATAATTATTTATTCAAGAGAAATATGAAGAATTCGCGGAGATGTTTACAATCAAGCACTTGTTTTACTTGAGGTTATTTACAATTCCTTCAACTCTCTCGCGGTGCTATAATAGGTAGTAAAGTCCCTGAGGGCGAATGGTCTTCAGTCTGTGTATGAATGGAACGGGATTTTGTAAATAAAACCTACAGCGCAGTGTTTACAGTACTTATCTAGTATTTAAAACGTTCAAGTTTCGATCCCAACCATGTTCAATAATCTTAAAAAAAATGAACAAGGATTAGTCTAGCTAGACTGTTCTGAATAAGACATTTCAGCCAGGATTATCATTTCCATTCTTGTGTGGCCTATATAGCATTCTGCTCTCTTCCGGTGTATACTGGTAAAATCTTTCAACAACCTTATTTTCATCCGTTCTCTACAGATGGTGTAATTAATTGACATTAAACTGTTTTGTAATTGGATGTTAAACACGTTCAGTTCTTGTCAGACTGTTTGGTTTTGGTATGATCTATTTTTTATAACTTCCTATAGACCTTAAGCCACCGATCCTGGAAATTATAAAATAATAATATAATCTGTCAGCATAATATCATTCAGTCACTTGAATACAGAAGTAGTGCCAACTCTGTAAATCCATATATATAAAATATACAAGCATCTGAGACAAAAGACAATGCCAGCCGTAACATTGGTACAATCAGAATAACAGTAATTCAATGATGTTATTGATTTTCCTATTATATCTTTGCATCGTGTTGATGTGAGCAGTGTTGCCAACGTTTCTGAGGTATATGTTGACTTAATGTCCAGCAACCTACTCAGTTCAATCTCGAAGATGGAAGCATAATGCACCCTCGAAACGTCTTCAGCACTCCCCACATTTATACGTTGCAGAGACCATAATCACCTTCAACACTATATGTGACATGCTTGGCAAAGAGTGGCCTTCAAAGTAGCACGAAAGCCTTAGACATAAGAGCTTAATGGTACCACTGCTGTCAGCAATTAGTAGCCTTACAGGTACAAAGCATTGTTAAGTATGACAATTAAGTTCATGACAAGCCCTCACATGTAATTTAGCAACAAAATAAAATATATTATCTTTGATTGTGCTATTTAGAAAGTACACTCGTACATTTATTTATAAATATGTAGACTTATTTAATTTTATATAATGTTTTAAAGCCATGTCGTATTGCTCCTGTCACACACTTACGTAAATCTATGTACTGTAGCTACTACATAAATAAATTTGAACATATGCTTTACTCATGTCACATTTATTGTGAGTTATTTCTCGCCCACATGTTTCGATGTCAATCTCTCATCATGAGACACTGGCTCATGTATTCCGACAAAGATTTTGTATGCACTTGTTATATTCCTCGTGATTGTACACCCGCCTTCATCTAATCACCCCAATAATATTTCTTCGGAATTTGTCTGTGATACTGGAAATCAAGGAAGTACCTCGGGCAAGATAGCCGGTATTTTGGGCTGAGATTTGAAAACTGTATCTCCAGAATACCTGTCTAAACCTTCGCTGCTGCAGCAAAGTGACCGGTGCGCCAGTCGTATTAAAATTAGAGACAAATTTTGCAAGAGAACGATGGGTTCTCAGACATTTTGGGCTTGGTGCACTCTGAAAGAGACATGTCTAGAAATATCAGATAATTCACAACATAATTTTTAATATTTTTACCATATTGTAATGTGTAGGAATGACTACAGACAGGGTTTGGATTGGTGACGACTCCATTTATTGGCCATTTTAACACATTATTCGTAATTACACTTCATTATAGCGCCATAGCTGGTTTTCACTTTACCAGATCAAGTTAAGTCTATTCCAGCTCGCAGTGTCTTCACTAGTAATTGCTTGTTAACTGCTCCTAACAATGATTTTTGCTCTGCTTCCGTGCTCAAGTCCTCTCTGAACGGCAACTCCTTTCCAAGTTCTTGCTCCAACTAAGTCATCTGTTCACAGACTAACTGACTATCAACTGACTAGCTCTCAGGCTGGCGGCCATTTCACATCAGTCTCCTAGTCTTCTCTTCACAGGCTTAACACTAGCTCGGCTGGTGTTCCCTTGGCACAGACCAGCAGAAAACACTGTTTCCAACAGTTCCTCTACTGTTGCATGCGTGTCCGTTGCAATGGAAACGTGTTTATCGATCCGTTGCCTAGAAACGGCTCTACATTCTATGATATTTAAAAAAAAAGTGATCACGTTAGTATGTACCACATGTACGAGCTTGTTCTGAGTAGACCCACGATATAAATAACGCCCACAGATATCGGACTGAAATGAGAATTCTGCGAATGAGGGCGTATGGTACACGTAGCAGCTACTTTGGTGCCACTAAGGGTACAAGTACCACAGTTTGATTAACGATGCAGTAGACGAAGTCTTGACTCGAATGAGCTTCAAGCGCCAAGAAGAATAAGCAAAAGAAATTTAGATAAGAAGAAGGATCTAATTCTGTACAGCTTTTAAATTTAATTCCAAATTAGTTTGTTCTTACTTCTGGTGTTTGCAAGAGTGAGTGTGGACTGAGTTTCGTATATCCGCTACAAGATGGCGAATAGTCGCAGTTCCCACAAGTTCCACTATCGGCCCAGAGAGGTCCTCCGCCTGGCTCACAGTTCGTGCCAGTTCCCGATCGGTCGAATCCACCGCAACTTCCACCTACGTCATCAACGCAGCCAACGCCCCCACCGGAAACTCCTGTCATTACAGAGGAGCCTGAACCTCCCTCCTCCAACAAGAATACGCCCAAAAAGGCCGAGGCCAATTCCATTCTGGGCAACATCGACGGAATGCTCGAAGAAGAACGTTGAGCTGATGCATTTTGAGCACACTTCTAGGTGGATATATTTCTTCGAACTTATAGAAGGAAGCAGTGCGTCCTTCCGTAATATTGGTATGCATCTGTAAGGTAGGCTATGTGGCAATCCAAAAAAAGAAACACAGTAGGACTCACTCTTCAACGCTTAATCACAGGTTTTCGCTTAATAATACGCGTAGATGTGTTCACATTTATATTCTTCTAGGCTAATGATATCATTAAGTTGCTAATATTTTCCTCTAAAGTACCATTATACGTACGGTTATTGAGAAAAAACATATTAAAATATGTCAGAATTGAATTATTATAAGAAATATCGGCAGATGCAGAGAACCCTCAGTTTCATGGGTGTCAAATCTCATTAAGAGCAGACCTTGTCGTTGCTTGGTAACTCGTATCCAAGTAATCATCACTACCACAGTGAACATAGGGCTCACATTCTGCCCTTAAATAATAGATTAAGGCAAAGTTGTCCCTGTACTTAACTAATTAAGCACTACGCCATGAAGGCGTATGGGGTAGTAGATGTATAGATCCACATAACAACAGATTAAAGATATCAAATTTTAAAATAGAAAAAATAATGATTTAAGCTCTCATTATCCTTCGTTAACACCAAGACTTTGCGCTATGTGGATATGGACAGTTTTGGTGACGTTTCGGAGGAACATGCTGCCTTCAACTTAATGGTCGAGGTAAGATGGCTGGATGTTCGTGTCTATAGAGTTTTATTTCAACAGAAAGGTAGGGGGGCTGGTGGCCCTTTTGGCCCGAAACGGGGCAGCAGCTACCGTCTTTTCCTTCTCTGGGTTTGTTAGCCCTTTAAAGCCCAGTGGTTACTATATATACCGACTGCTTTAGCATACTAAACTCTGTATTCTCCCCACAGAGTGTATTTGCGTGCTCCTTATGGATCTCAAGACAAACAGCGACGGTTTCCCTAAACAGCATTAACCGGTTGGGCTTTGTAGCGGAGACATAATGCGTTTCCTGTGAGGTACGAACTGAATCTTGATATATTATTTAGATAAATTCAGTCTTCAAAGGAAACAAAAACTGTATACACTCACTTATACACACACTTCTCATTTAGAGTCTAAAGATGGAGGCAAGAAGTAAATCCGAAACGTCCGTAACACTGCCCACATTACACAGGCTCTAAGGACACAGGAACAGAATAAATATCAGGAACAAATCTACGATATGGGTGCTAAACTGAACAGAAATACTGTATAACTTCTGAAAAGAAAAAAAAAGGAACATTTCTGTAATAATACGAACCCTAGAGACACAATTAAAACGTCACTCGCTAAATATTATTTTCGTGCTGTAAGAAGCTCTTCTCTGCCCATATCACGTGATACTCTTGACCTTGCATCGATAGCCTTACAGAAAAAGATTTGAGGACGCACAGAAGCACAAAGTCTAGATGGAGGTCCATGGTTAAGGCTCTGGATTTACTTCTGAACTGGAACATAATTGTGCCAAAGTAACTGACGTGTCGTGATCGACAAGTCTCTCTGCGGTGGTCTTCTGAAATATGTAATTTCCATTTCTTCATTCTAAAAGATGAAAACACATCTG